TTACATTTTATAATCCCATCTTTATAATTTCAAACTCACAAAGGTCTTTAGGCTCTCTCCACCTCTACATGTCCTTTAACCTAGGAGTGAAGAAGGAAGATGTACACATAGAACAATATTTGCATCTCCTGTGTGTTTTGATGCTACAGCCCCTGAGCACTGGTATAGATATGGCAATTATTGTTCAGTGGTTCTCCTGTGCTAATTAATTACATCAGCTAATACAGTGGCCACATGTATAAAAGTAATGAGTCAAGAAATTTCTAAAAAATATTAAAAATGTTACTATGGGCGTAGTTGAATACTATCTACTAGTAGCAACAGAATGTCATGTAGTAGTATGTCCAATCAGTTAAATGGCAGTTGAGTGCCGGATGATGTGAAATGGGATGAGAAAGAAATGGCAAACACGGTGATAAGTCAAGAAAATTGCAAAAAAAAAAAAGGTTGCTGCAGGCGTAGTTGAATACTATCTACTAGTAGGAACAGAATGTCATGTACTAGTATGTCCAATTAGTTAAATGGCAGTTGAGTGCCAGATGATGTGAAAGGGGATGAGAAAGAAATGGCAAACACGGTGATGAGTCAAGAAAATTGCAAAAAAAAAAAGGTTGCTGCAGGCGTAGTTGAATACTATCTACTAGTAGGAACAGAATGTCATGTACTAGTATGTCCAATTAGTTAAATGGCAGTTGAGTGCCAGATGATGTGAAAGGGGATGAGAAAGAAATGGCAAACACGGTGATGAGTCAAGAAAATTGCAAAAATAATGTTGCTGTAGGTGTAGTTGAATACTACCTATCTTGCAACAGCAAGTGTTGTGTTTATCTTTTTAGTTAAATGGCAGTTGAGTACCACGTCGCTCCTGTGTTCAACTGGTATTCAGTACTCATAGCACTGAATGTTCACCTATAGCACAGCACAGCTCTATCAGAAGCCACTGAAATACTGTACTGTCAGGATCTGCATTTGCCCAGGCTGGAGTCTCCTGCTTTAACAGTCTAATGAGGTACGACAAAGGTATGACGGCAGATTTTGTACACGTCTGGAACCTGATTCGGCCTTGAGCAGCAAACACGGCTGCAACAGTCTCGGACGTTGGTCCATTTCGTGTACCTGACATGCGACCGTTGTGGAGATTATCGCGATGTGTCCAGTATGCTCGGTCTTCATTATTTACGAAAGACACCTATGAAGGACAGTTAGTATGAGAGGGTTTACATAATGAGTATACAGTGAAAATCTGACTTCTATCTGTTCTTTTGTTGGTGGCATACAAGGAATACCTGTCAAGGCTCTAGTGAAAAGTGTACTGCGAGTGTCTTTTGCATTAAAGTCTGTTTCATCTATTGGGAGAGCCTGTCCAAAACTCCAGGATACACTGTGGAAAGCGTCTGCACAGGGTATACCTACTCCACTAAGAAACCTAAAAAGTAGGTCACGGAGGAATGCTATTGCAGAGGAGAAGCCCCGGTTTCTAGCCACAGTATCCAAGTCTGCAGCATGGTCAGACGAGTCGACTTCGATTTCTACTGCTTTCATCACATTTTCGGGGGTTACAGATCGAGAAGCGAAACACATCGATATTAGAGCATCAGACCCACCATCCACTGCTCGCACAACCTTTCAAGGAGGTTCTGTCAGATGTTCGGGTCGGAGCACTGTTACAATCTTACCTTGCCAAAGTCAAGGCCGTACGACTCCAAGGATGCTCCTTCAAGGTATGCAGCCCACTCTGGGTGTCGAATATCACGCGGCCCAAGAACTGACCGAAACAACATATCACATGCAAGCAAATCATGCTCTTCTTGCGTTCTCCCTTCATATGTAGCAGCCTAGAGAGTCATATCAGCAAGAAAGCTATTTCTGTGTCTGCAAAACACTACCTGTGATTGCATATATGAAGTGAAAATGCGCTCGCAACACCTTGGATCTCCTGATGCACCAATAGTGTTCCATTCTTGCAAATCAGCGTGAATCTCCGGATACCATGTCTTGACAAATTTACTGTGCAGAGAACGGAAGTCCCGAAGATTGTAAGCAATTTGGAGTACGGCCGGCCCTATAGGATCGGGTGCAATCTTATGTATAACCATAAGAGACGTTAGAGCACCCAATACACGTAGTTTCTTGATTCTCTCCGCGGAAACGTGCGCAGCAGTACTCTCCGTTGTGAACAGCTTCAATGAACTGTAGTCCCCGGCCAAGCGTTCAAACCATACTGCCTCACGAGCAACGTATGTGCGCATAGCTAAGAATAATGTCTCCAGCTCAAGTCCACGGCCAAGGGTCACTGTTGATCCATCCAGGCGAACACTAGACACAAAATCAACAAACGCAACACTGGAAATATTGTAGACTGCTTACATTGAAATTGTCCTTGCCGGAGCAAGGACTTCATAGTAATTACCACGTTCAGCACATCGCTCAATCAGCATAAGCAACTGCTCTGCCAGCTCCGTCATATTATGGCCCTGAATTAGTAGCTCTTCCTCCACAAGAGGTTCCTCTGACTGTGCATGCGTATAGGCCAGCTCAAAAACTTGTGTTGCAAAATTGTCAAGTTGAAGCGTCCACCCGTCAGGGTCTGCAGCAGGAGACCATGGTTGACTCCATAAAGCAGTGGGCAATGCATTCTCTGGAGACGCAAACGAGACATTATTAGTTAAGCGATGTGCCTGTCGTGTAACGTTTGTGCGCTGTGTCCATATCAGCTGTGTTGGATTGCGTCGTAATGCACGAGGCGCTTGCTGCGACGGCTGTATCGGACTAGGAGGGGCAGTTGGCACATAGTTATCCTAATTGTAAATTTTAATATTAGTATATGTCTGTACTGAACATACGGAGAAAATCAACACACCGTGGTTCCTGCAGCAGAGTCTATTGCCGGAAGATCTAGCTCAGCATTACTGTCGATCTCTGTGCAAGTACATGGAACTTCGTCACTAAGCGATTCACTTGGCTGGTCCTCAAGGAGGCCTCGAAAAAATCTATCCGCTATACAGTCATGAGTGATACCATCACGCTGGCACTTCAGAGGCTCGGCTGCAGCAACTATATTCAAGTCTTTAGCTGGATATGCATGTGAAGGGAACAAAGAACTCACCAGTAAACAGGACGAACCGGCCATTTTCCAGTGCAACATCCGGGATTGCAAATTTGCTCTTCATACTCAGTACGTCGAAGATACTCCAATTGGGATCGAGTGGACAGCATTTCAGCCGCATTGGAGCTACTGCACCCCCTCTCAGCAAAGCACGGTCGTGGATCCTCAGCAACTTCAGGTGAAGCGTTTCATGCGGTTGGTACATCCCTGACGTGTGAGTGAATGTGTAGCCATGTTGACGAGTCATTGCCAAAGAGACTGTCTCTATAATTTCGGTGACGAGTTTGTCATGCGGGACAAGGAGTTCGTATACAAGCCCAAACTGCCTTAGTTTGGCATTGAATGTTTCGCGAAGGAAGTGATATAAAAGGCAGAATTGAGAGCCTGCGTTCTATGGAAACTATCTGGTGAGATCCCAACCATTCATACAACCTAAAAAGTGCAACTTACACACGATGGGTAGACCTTTACTGTAATACGAACGCATGTGCCCCCATCATCCGCACTCTCAAGGCAGTCGCTCATTCTCGGTATGTTTGCCGTGGGGAGACTGGGGAATAACGCACGACGACTCGCTATGTCACCTCTTCTTGTCCCTCGCCGTGCCTGGGGAGTTGCCCGAGGTATTGTCCGTTCGGCTGACAATCGTCGATTGTTGTTGACAAGTCGAGTATCGAGACGGATTGGTTGGCTTGATGCTGCTTGGGATACGGTTTCCCCATTGCTGTAAGGTGACAGTGTTGGAACTCCTAGCGAAGAAGTTTGGACATCTCTCTGTAGAGTCGGGACTGGTGTGCGGGTGGATGCAAATGGCTGCGGAATACGTGAGGGAGCTCGGGCACTCTGGTAGCGTTCCAATACAGGAGGCACTGTAGATTGTGACAACAAGTCTACTCGTTCGTCCGCTGTAGAGACAGCTTGTACATTAGTTGCATTGGCAGACTGTGGAAGTGATAGATTATTCTGCGCTGCAAGCATGCGAACATATTCGAAAAGGTCCTCGTTTGCTCTGCCTGTGCCACTCATGGCGCAACCAGGTGGGTGTTGAAAGTAGTGGCGGTTAGGATAGAGTCTTTATACCCTGTAACAAGGTTGTAGTTGATATTACTGCATGCAGGAGTATTTGCGTACAGGATATTTTGTGTGCCTGCCCACTGTATTGCTTGAAATTTTTTGCATATTCTATCTCCACCCGTTGAAAACGCAGAAATATTTTTTCGTGAGGGATGACATTGAGAAAGTTAGTGTCTTGCCATATACGAGTTGCGTGTAGCCGAGAAACGCACCAATTGTTGCAAGAGCAACGGCATGTGCTCCACAGTTTACTAAACGAGCACAGGGGAGATGAATTTTGCCAACGATAAATTGTGCCAAAATGACGTCAAGGTAGTAGTATGCATCCGATCGTCTTGAAATGGGCGCGATAGGCACACTGTACATATTCGAAGACTTTCAGCATGACATACGGAATGCAGTCGTTCTCAGGGATCAGGAAAATCCAGAGCGCTACATAGCTCTGTCTAGGAAGACCATTGCTATTTTATCCTGTAGCAATGTATTGCATGTCAAGATTAGAGATAACCGAGCTGTGGAGTGTTTCAGCATTTCTGACAAAATGTTGAATTGCAGAAGACAAGATAAAGTGGATGATTGGCCATATCTGACAGTCATCGGCAATAACATACGCAAATGAAATGAACGGAAGTTACAGAACCAGACGATCATTTTTTAGACGCAACAGGCCCTTTGCGCCCTACTAACGCGTTTCAACCAGTTCTCTTAATACACGACATCTGGAATCGAGATCTCGGATTATGTTTCTGAGTAAGGTTACCTCCTTCTCTAGGGTGGATCATCACCAAATCGAACACGAAAATGTATTGGAATTTACTGCTAAGACATATATTTTTTACATATTGTGGATCCTTATATTCGCTTATAAAGTCTACATGTAAATATATTGCCTTGTCAGACTCTGCACGTTTTGGTGATGATACTGACCTAAACTGCGCTACTGTCGTAAGGATTCGTTATTGTCTCCGACTCAATCGAGGAAAAAGTCGGTTCTCCAGACTTGGATTATTTGGCACTGTGATGGTTGTACGTATTAGTTGTAAGCTCGATCGTACCGTCTCGTTAAACATCCTTGGCTACAACTTGTATAGCACAAATATCGGCGGGCAACGCTTTCAAAATTCTGTTCATTGTGTGAATGTAGAGAGCTGAAGATGGACAAGTTTGGCGGGTCTGATATAGGTGGCAATGAAGGCAAGAATGATTGAGACGGAACTGGTGATGCCTGAACAACATGGGTCTGACGAATTGCAACATCTTTGAAATCGTACATATTTTGAGTCTGAGTCGTCTATCATAAGTGATCAATGTATGTGCAAAATTCAACACAATAGAATGAAGATGGAAAGGGGACATACATGTTTCAAATGTCCACTACTACCTGGGGCAGAAGGACGTTCAGATATTTCGCCAGAATCTCGTTTGAAATGCAATCCAATAGAAACAGCTTCTCTATCAAGATATTCTGTTAGTGCTTGTCCTAGTAGAGCAGTTATCACCATCGAAATTACTGAGCAACATCTTGGACATAAGGGAAGATAAATGGTCTTGTTCGTTCGCAGTGAAGTCTATACGCAAAGATTAGAATTGCAAGGAGGAGGGCAAACCTTTCTGGAGAACGTTTTTTGCATTTGGAATGTCTATGTGTACCTACCGGAAGGCACTTCTTGCATACCTGGTTGGTCTGGAAGAAATGGATAACGAGGTTTGTGTGAGATAAGGCGAATGCTGGCGAAAGTGGAGTGGAGGGAAGAGGAAGTGACTCTACTGACAGAGAAGGCCAGATAGAAACGGGCTGTTGAGCACATCAGACGAACGAAACGCACTCACGCGTACACACGCACATCCTCGATTATTTACACGGACACATACTCCCTGCTGCTTTTATCCCTGCCTTTCTATTTTCATTCCTCCCTCTTGTCACCTGCCCGTGTGCGAGTGCAAGTCTTTCCAGCTACTTGCTCCCCCCTTTCAGTTGGTTAGTCAGCTGCTCCCCAATATCTTTTCCGTGAGCGAGAGATTGACTGAATGTGATCTGATCTCTTAACTCGTTTTCCGTCCCAACAGATCCGTCCTGTCGTTACTGATACAGTTGAAAATGTCTTAATGTATAACGACGGGAATGCCATTTTGCTATGCATTATGAAATTTATGCAACAAGATATGTGTGTAAATATATTGCCTTTTTAGTTAACCCGAAAGTAGTACTACTTTGAGTCATGTATAAGGGAAATTAGGGTTAAACACATGCTCTGTATACGTTGAGAAAGGCAGGAAATAGTATAGTAGACATGTATCCTACTGTGAATACCAAAAAATACTAAGAAATGTTTTTGTTTTTCAAATCTACAATATTACTTCGTTAAGAAATCAAGTGGATCTAATATCAGCAGTATTCCCCCACATATCCTGAAGTGTTGTCTGCTGCCTGGAACACATTTCCTTACGGAATAGCTCACCACGGAACTTGCGCAGAGAGTTTGTAAGGCTGAGAGCGACTCCAACTTCAGCATGCTCAAGAGTTAGCTGTTCAAGCAAAATACAGAAGTCCTGACCATCACGTAAAGAGACTTTCCTGACTGGCTCATCAACAGGAGTCTCGGGCTCACTGTCTGATTCATCACCAGTGTCCTCTAAGTTTATCCCTCTATCTATTCGACGTCGGACCTCTTCAATAATCTCCAAATCTCCAAAACCTTTAAGTCGATCTAACTCAGGATGCTCCTTCTTCTCCTCGGCTGGATTGAGAAGATCCTCCAGAGACAGTGGTGCACCAATAATACGACGGCGGTGATGAAGCTCGTTGACAGTAAAGAGTAGGTCTTCCTCAACTTCGTGAAGTTGCTCCAGAGTAGTAGTACCAGTACTAGATTGAGAGGGGGAATATGCAACGGCAGGCTGGTGTACAGGTTGTGGAGCAAGCTGTTCAACGACATGAACAGCTGCAGGAACATCATCTTCAGTATCAAGGACGGCATTGATGACCTCAAGCCAGTCACCTGGCTCGTAGTCCTCCCCAAGACAATCCTGAAGGTGTCTCTCGAGCTCAGGGACTGTTCCGATATCACCCTGAGCATACTCGCGAAGGATATTCCAAGCCTCAGGACGTTGGTTGGCAGGGACATCAGGAGATGGTGGTGGTGGCGGTGGATTGAGTGGACTATGAACACCTCTAACAGAAGAGCTAGAGTCGTAATCACCATCGACACGGTGAAAAATAAGATTCACGAGGTATACGCAGAGTCCGTCGACACGGTGAAGAACAAGATCCATTCAGTATGGGGCCATTGGCATCGAACGCGGTCAAAAGTAAGATTCGCGAGATATACGCAGAGTCCGTCGACACGGTGAAGAACAAGATCCATTCGGTATGGGGCCATCGGCATCGACACGGTGAAAAATAAGATTCGCAAGGTAAACGAGGAGGCCATCGACACGGTGGAGAACAAGATCCATTCGGTATGGGGCCATTAGCATCGAACACGGTCAAAAGTAAGATTCGCGAGATATACGCAGAGTCCGTCGACACGGTGAAGAACAAGATCCATTCGGTATGGGGCCATCGGCATCGACACGGTGAAAAATAAGATTCGCAATGTAAGCGAAGAGGCCATCAACACGGTGAAGAACAAGATTGATATGGTTATTAGCACAGTAGGAATACAACGAAGAATAAAGCATACCTTTGAAGTCCACTGTGCTTCCAACAGTTCCGTATTGTCGACGCATCAACACGGTCCCATGCAGAATTAGTCATGAGCATGGCTTCCAAAAGGTTTATTTTGTAGATATCTCGTTCTCCAGCTTCATCCAGATCGACTGCACGTTTGCAGAAAGCACGGCGGTAAAGTGCTTTGAAGGTTCTAATTATTCCAGCATCTAAAGGCTGGATAAACGGTGTCATATTCGGTGCAAAGAATTCTAGATGAATGTGCGTTGGCTGATACGGAACACGGTGTGCAGAGAAGTTGTCTAGGAGGAGAATAACATAACGGCCTTCTCTTTGCATTGCGAGATCGAAGTTCTGAAGCCATCTAAAAGACAATGTAAGTGTCCTGGTCTATTCTGTTGCTTATTCACCAAACGGACGCCATATTGTACTTACTCTTGGAATAAGAAACTTGTCATCCATGCTGATTGATTGGCACGATAATAGAATCCTTTGGTTGTAGGGGACTGGCTATTGAAGCAGCGAGGTTTACGAGATTTGCCTATAATAAAGAGATCCCGTTTGTCTGAACCGTCCGCATTACAGCAAAGGCCAATTGTTATTCTGAAACGATTGGCCTTCCGCCCACTCATCTGGCGCAATGCGAGACCTCGATCTGGTGGAGCACTTTGCGAAGTCAAATTACAATTTCGAAAAGAAGTGTAATGGTTACTCACTAAGCAAAAAGACCCGTCTCGTCGAAGTTGTATTGATCTTCTGGCTTGTACTGGCTGAGGATCTTAGTGATGCGAACTCGTTCTTCTGCGACCTGTGCTTGATCTACAGATGCGGCCTCTCCATGACGGCGAATACTTTTGATGCCCCAACTAGAATATGCGTGAACATCACTCTCGAGGTTGAATCTTCGGATACGATTGACACGGCGAAAAATAAAAAGAAAGACTTACGTTCGGGTGAATGACTGTACCCAGCCATGGCTTGTTAGACGCTCTTCCTGGGGTACATTGAATTCGTCCTCAAACCGGGCTCTCTTCTCGATGAGCATAGCACCCGATACAAGCTCGTCCCGGGCCTCCATAGACTGTTGCCACATTATTAACGCTTGTTCTACTGCTGGATTTGCTACAATACGAGGACGCTTGCTTGATAATGCTAGAGGGGTTTCTTTTGCTCGAGTCTCAAGCTCTTGACGGCGAGCGATGTTTCGGCAGAGGGAAGACTGGGCAAACAAAAGAGCACGCTCAGAGCGTCTGCTGAAGAATCTAACGATTTCATCCTGGGAAAGGTTTGGATGGTCGTCTCGGAAGCTCAGAACTTCCAGCCAGTCAGCGCAGGTGAGATTTGTTCTCTTCCGCACTATCTTAGCTGAAGTCTTTACTTTCCTTACTGAGCTACCAGGCTTGGGACCAGGTTTTGTCTTGTATGCCCTTCTCTTGGTCTGCTTCAGCTTTCCTATCGACATGTGTGAGTGTTTTGACACTCTTAGTACTTGTAGTCTCTGTTTTATACCTTTTTCCCCCTTCATTTTACAGCTTTCATGCTATCGGTCGTGTCGGTCATGTGGCGGCATGGAGCTCTTACATGAGCAGAACTGTCAATCGGAAACACAAAATCCACATGGAAGCCAACTATAATTACTACACACCTCAGTAAGTCTCTTGAATTTCTTCTTTTGCCTTTTTTTTTTTGCATAATTTTCTCACAGAATTTGATGCATTATGCAATATACTATATTTTGCATAAATTCCCTTATCCCGTCTTGGGAGAAGGCTAAAGGTCATGCATTATGGAATATATGCATAATCATATGATGCGTTAAGACATTTTCAACTGTAGTTTCATTCGCGGAAGCTAAGATGTGCGTTGATGATTCTGGACATGATGTGATCACATGACCCATATGTTTGCCTTTTCTAACCCGGTAGCTGTTACGGATCGGTCAATTATGTACCTCACCTCCGTTCAGATGGCAGCGCTGTCGAGCAATTTTGTATCCAAATACTCTTCTACTGGCATGGATTGCTCCAGGAGGGGGATGTGGTGTAGTCACGTTGGACCTGGTGAATTGCAACGAAGTTCGCAGCGTTCCAAGCCTGAGTCATCAGTGCGCGAGACGACATTGGCACAATTGCAGCACGGCTTCAAATGGACGAGGAAGGGAGTGATGTCGGAGACTATGATTTAGTTGAGATGCTCTTACCTTTTCGGCTCCTGTACAACGATGGTGTCGAACGCCTTGATGCAGAAAGTGCAAGGAAGCGTGTCTGCAGGGTTAGCACTATCTGGTAAATTCTCGTTGGCTTGTTTGCACTCAAAGTAGTATTGATATTCTTCTCATGGAGGCATTGGATAGAGCTGCGGCTCCTCCAGATCGTTTGAATGGAACCCATAGGGGACCTTGTCCCGCAACAAGTTCTGTTGTCAGCTTGGGATCTGGGACTGGCTCTGCGAGCACGACATATCTACCCCCGTTAGACAGCATTCCCGATATTCCGGACTTTGATACTAGCATCTTCGCGCGCTTTCAATCCCCGTGCAATTCACTTTCAGTCAGTTCACTATTGTCTTATACCCTTACACGCACGCGGTCCTCTGACCATGGCGCAATCATGGGCGGTGGTGGTCTTTTTCATCCGCTCGGAGCAAGGTCGATTGAGATTGCACCAAGCGGGAGCCCATGTACTTCATCCTTAGCCAAGCTTGATGATGAATACACAAGTATACTTAGGGGATGCGCGTTCGCTTTGGAATCTGGCTCAGATACTATGACGCTCAAACTGTATGCGTGAACCCAGTGAGCATGGCGTATCGTCGACCATGGGTCCATTAGAGTCTGTAAGTGTTGCGGGAAGAACTCACCGGGTTGGAGCCTCAGCGGTTTACATGCCCTCAGAACCGGCGCTCACACAGCACAATGGACTCTTCGACCTCAGATGGAACTCAGATCATACCTTCTTTGTTGTCTCTGCGCGGTCCGGGTTCTGCTTCTCTTCTAGGTGATTCACATTCTGGTCCGATTTCAAGTGAGGAAAGCGGTCGCCTACGCTCGCCTACGCGCACGTTACACTCTCTACACAACGAGTACGGGCCTCTCCCAACGAAGCGCTGTGCGACGACGGGCCCCTCGTTCTGCACACACTTATTCCAGGTCTGCAAGTACACGTAGTGGACCCTCGGTGGCCAGTACACCCAACAAATAGAACAAGTACGATGAGCCAAGTCAGTTTACTAGTTTACAGGAGAGTTACACGACAACAAGTGTTTCTGAACAAATTCAGGAGAGATCGGTGTCATCCGACTCTGCAACCATGACAAGTCCTCCAAGGTCGGTGACAAGAGACTCGATGGAGAGAATAGTGATGAGACCAAGAATACATATACAAATGCCAGAAAATGGGAGCGAGAGCAATATCTTCCTAACGCTGAAGGCACCACGAAGCGAGTCATCTTACCATCCTTTACCTGGTACGCCAACTCTGTCTAGCAAGAGTATTCCATCTACGGAATACAGAACAGCAATCAAAGCTCTATAGACGGAGTACGAGACGGGAGAAATCTGTTCGTCGCAGCCTCCATCTACAGAGTACACGACTGCGGAAGTGTGCCCGTCGACAATCCCCGCGACGGAGACGGAGTATTTTACAGCAAAGTGTCATTGCAAACCCGCTGTATCCAAGGAGGTCAGCTTGCTAACTCCGTCATTGAGTTTGACGAGCGTGTCAGAGGAGGTTGTCGAGGCAGGCATCCCTCTTCCAGAATCCAAAACTGAAGAATTGCCTCCTCGTTCACTGGCTGAACTCAAGAAGACTCCTTGTCATTGAGGAGCCGACATCACCCTATGAATCGTCGGCCTTGTCTCTGTCGTCGATTCGTACACCAACTATTATCCCGCCAATCCCTCAAGTGTCACAGAGACGTCGGCTCGGACCTCCATCTTTTTGACACCGTCAAGTGTATCTAGTAGGCCTCCTCCTTCGTCCCCGTCTTCACCGTCAATCACCACAGCTCCCTTAACACCATCGTCGCCGTCTTCACCAACATCGATGGAATATAAGCCGGTATCATCAAGAACGCTGAAGTCAAGGTCTCTGTACTTACCATCACAGAGCAGCGAGAGATCATCGCCGAGTGTCACGGATGGGTATGAAAGGTCAATTTTCGCGCCCTCTCCCTCTCTTCAGTCTGTCCCGATGCAAGAGCCCGCACACGTCAGTTTTGAAACGTCCTTAATGCGCTCAGGAGCGAGCGAGATGTTGTCCGAACAACCTAGTCCTCTCCTGTTCAAGGACTTGGGAGTTCCAGCTCTCAGCTCGACTGCGACGCCGACTTCGACAAGTGCGAATACGACGAGCAGCGTCACTTAACCACTGACAGTAACACATACATAGTGCACACCTGATCCACCGACGCCGAGCTCCGTGTCGACGGCAAGTAGCTTAAGTGCTTCGTCTGGCCGGATTACTACTCTGAACCCTTGCACGGCCCTACTTGCTGTGCCGCCTGCACAAGTTCCTGAAAGAACACCAGCACCAAGCAGCCTCACGCTAAGTGACTCCATTCGAGGCTCTGAGGTTGCGAGCAGCGTATCGTATACGTCTCCGAGCAGTTTGACCCCGAGCACCCCGTATGAAGGGAATGGTATATCTAGGCCGTACGATCACTGTGACGAGGACTCTGTCAAGCGTGAGCAGTATTTCACCTGCTTCCATGAGAAGCTGTGTTTTTGCACCGAGAGTCTTTGAGTCACCAGCTACTGTCCCAACGCTACTTTCATCGAGAGCGTCGACTTCACGTCCTGTAGGTTTAATATTCTACAAAAGGGCTATAAATTAATTGACTAATGTCAAATAAACAGATGACTCCTTGAGATGTACAGTTGCCTAGTTCTCCATCTCTGTCTCTTGCTACAGCAACACCATCCTCACCACACACACTGATTCACAGTCTCTGAACACAATGAGTTCCGCAGAAACAACGTCTGTAGTGGAGGCACCAAGGGATGAATTTCTTACACATGATGTGAATAGACTCCTGCGCTATCTACATGATTTAGACCAGATTCGTGGTGGGGAAACGTAGGATACGAAAGACCACTTGCAGCACATAGAAGACGAGTTGCGTGATTGGCGGACTTCCTGCAAAAGCCGAGTACTCGGATGAAGGATCGGTCATTCGGCGGTTCACTTCCAGTCTCTGGTACCGAACGTACACCATCCCTTGAATACGTTTCACTGCCATCGCAGCCTTCCCTACTATCACAGCCTGCAGAGACCATCCGGACTTCCGGGTCATCACCACCTCTCCTAGTCCCCGAACCATGTGGAGCAGTGACACCGTCTGTACGCTCGGTGACGCCTCCGCGGCAGAGGTCAATGTCATTAGGGCCCATCAGGAAAGGTTGAACGTATTCTTCGTGAACTGCCACGGCCGCCATTAATGCCAGCGCCAGTAGAGCGGCCAGGACGTCTGGTTCCAGGCTTACCAGCCGAAGGTGTTGATCCGTCTGTCCTTCCGGAGGAACTCGCAGGCGTTTCCGATAGAGTTTCTCTCGCAGAATCGGTCAGGCCAGTGGCACCACCCGTGCCTGCAGCCGTTCCCACGGTTGCTGCGGAAGCCATGCTGCAACTGTATGAGATATTTGAACTGCTTCGAGCACAACAAGTTGACAATGCGTAGTGCAAAGCAGAGCAAGCAGAACGTTTTGACGTTCTCCGCGTGAGGTCATAGAGGCACGTGCCGACGTGAAAGCAGAATGCGAGGAACGGATTCGTATGCTGGAAGATGAGCTTGCACGTACTGGTGAGGAGCTTGAGCGTGAACGAGAGCAGCGAAGGGCAGAAGACTTGGAGAGGATTAAGCGAGAACATCTTGAAGTTGTCAAACGCGATGAAGCGGTTCGAGCGCAACTCAGCGATATCACGAACATCGTGCAGGAACAGCGCGAGGAACTTTGCGAAAGAGAGAACTGATGGACGAGAGACGGCAGGAGAAACTCGCGAGGCGAGACCGTGAACAGGAGCGGATGAAAG